CTTATGCAGACCAGTCACACGTGTCTAGAGAGCAGCTACTGTGTAGAAAGCAGCTGCTGTGTTGAAAGCAGCAGTATTGGAGGTAAAAATGACACACTTCATGAATTATAAATATTTCACAATATATAATTACATATTGTTTTTGTGATTATTCACTATGCTTTAATTATGTTCAATTTGTAACAATGAAAATACATCCTGCATATCAGATATTTACATTATGATTCATAACAGTAGCAAAATTACAGTTACAGAGTAGCAACGAAAATAATTTTATGGTTGGGGGTCACCACAACATGAGGAACTATATTAAGGGGTCGCGGCACTAGGAAGGTTGAGACCCACTGGCCTAGATGTTTTGAGGTCAGGATTCCATGGAGGGACTGTAACAGCTTCTACACAGCAAAGGAGATGCTTGAGTGGGAAGCATTGGGAGCTACCAGGGTAGACATAAAGGAGTCTCTAATACAGTAAGTCCCCGACTTACGAACATTCGAGTCGCGAACTTTCACAGATACGAACGGACCTCGCATTACGAACAGTCACAGATGCAAACAAATAACGGAAGTAGATCACGTGTCTGCTCTTGTCAGTTCACTCCATGCAATCCTCTATATGCCAGTTGTTGTACTGCACTGTACCACCATTTTAAGGTAACTGTAAAAGTAAAAATAGTTTATTTACAGTATTTTTGTGTGTGTGCTTAGTTTTTTAATGCTTTACATTGTATATTTGTGTCAAAGGTGTATAAGACTCACTTTGTCGGACTTACAAACGAATCTGACTCATGAACGTTTTCCCAGAACAGAACTTGTTCGTAAGTCGGAGACTTACTGTGCACTCACACAGGTATCAAGGCAGGGACAGAATCTCCAATGCTTTATATTCACCTTTCTCAGGAAACTATGCACTCGGGTCCTTAAGCTACTTTTACTTCACATAAAAACAGACTGCGGTCGCCAGTTCGATTCACCGCCCGAGCTGAGCTGCCGCTGAGCTGCCAACAGGTGGCAGGATGGCTCAGCTAAAAAAAAAAAAAAAGGACTGCGGGATAGGAACAAACACTTCTCACAGTCTCAAATGGGAAAGTTAGGCTTTGCTTCCACAGATATGTTACTACAGCAGACTTAGTGCAACAACGTAACAATTTGATCATCTTTCACACCTAATAATCATAAAAAATGAGAATAAAAAAAGAAAATTGGATGCCAGTGATAGGGACTGTGGATTTAGATAAGCTTATTATAATTGAGAACATGATGGCCAGATGGAATCTTTGACCTCAATGGCCCACCGGTAGACTTTAGGAAGTCAATTGTGTATTCAGTTGTGAAAGATAAGAAAAAATAATTATCAATCATATAGAAAGTGCTGGAAATATATTGTTGAAGTTTGAGTCTAAAAGGTAAGGTAAAATTAGAGATTTTAAAGGATTTTAGCAGTTAAAAAAAAATCCATTATGATTTACAAGTCCCCTATCAGGCAGTTTCAGGAACACATTATAGATGACAGCTTGCGGGCTGCCTGATCAAAGAAGACCAAGTGGAGTGAGGGAAGCCGGGCACACACGGCCAGTATTTGAAATGCTGTAAGATCAACTGTGCCAGGTCTCCCTTAAAGGAGATTCACAGTGATAAGGGGTGACTGTTTAGTAACTGACTTGATTGGTGAAGATGCGGCACAGAGGAAAATGTACTTGATTAGAAATCCATGCTCTCTAGTTTAAAAATGATATGAAATATATGCTCTAACACCATGATTCTCAAACTTTAGCATGAATCACAGTCAGTTGGCACACTTGTTAAACCCTGAGTTTCTGACTCAGTAGGTCTGAAGTGGGGCCTGAGAACTTGAATGGCTATCTTCCCATGGGCTGCTGATGTCCAGAGGCCGCTCTGAGAACCATGCTGCTCAACCTGGGCTACATGTTACAATCACTTGGGGAGCTTTCTATTTTATTTCATTTTTAATTTTGTTCCAGTTTTATTGATCTAATTGACACATAACATTGTTAAGTTTAAGGTGTGCAATGTATTAATTAGATACATTTATGAGTTGCAGAGTTATGGCCACCCTAGCATTAGCTACCACTTTCACCACCTCACAAAACAACTGTCTTTTTTTTGTGGTGAGCACATTTAAGATCTCCTGTCTTAGCAACATTCAAATATATGATACAGTATTGTTACTATAATCACCATGTTGGACATTAGATCCCCAAACTTGTTAATCTTATAGCAGGAGGTTTGTACCTTTGACCAATATCTCCCCATTTCCCCCCAACATCCCCCAGCCCCCGGCAAACATCACTCTATTCTCTGTTTCTCAGAATTTGTCTTTTTTAGCTTTCACATATAAATGAGATCATACAGTATTTGTCTTTCTCTGTCTGACTTATTTCACTTAGCAGGGTCCATGCTTGGGGAGCTTTTCTTTTTTTTTTTTTTAAGATTTTTATTGGGGAATTGGGGGGATGGGAACAGTGCTGGGGAATTGGGGAAAGGGGAACAGACAAGTTGCTGTCGTTTTGTTCTTCAATCTAGTTGTGGAGGACGTTGCTTCACTGGCCCAAGTTGGCACCATCATTGCGCTCTTCTCTGGCGAGGCAGATCAGTCGCCAGCTTCTGGACGGCCGCTCACTGCGGCTGCTGGCCGCTCACGCTGGCTGCTGGCCACACACGGTAGCCCATGGCAATGCACTGCCACAGGGACTGCAGCCCACGCCGTTGCCGGCGACTCATGGCAGCCCAGCTCCAGGTTGAGCTGTTGTTCAGCATCTTAGCTGTGGAGGGCAGTGTCACTGGCCCTCATATGTGGGATCCGAACCGGGGCCCTCTGGCATCCCAAGCGAGTTCTTAACCATCGCGCCACTCGGCCGGCCCTTGGGGAGCTTTTCAAATATACCAATGTTGGGGTCTCATCCACCCTGAGATTCTAATGTAACTGGTCTGAGGTGTGTTAAGGCTTCAGCATTTTTGAAGACCTCTCCCGGTCATTCGAATATTTGCCCAAGCTTGAAAACTATTGCTCTAAACCAGGGGTCAGCAAACTTTTGAGACAGAAGAGCCGCCAGGGGTCAGCAAACTGCAGCCCGCGAGCCGCAGGCTCTGAAATAAAATTGAAAATGAAAATAAAACTACCATAGTTTCATTTATAAAATTTTTAAAGGATATTATTCACATAATGGTGATTATGTAAAAATACATTTATGGCTCAAATAATTTTTAAATTGTTGTGAGGGACAGGATTGACTCTTCCAGGGTTCGGCAAACTTTTGAGACTGAACATACATCTGAAGAGCCGCATGTGGCTCGCGAGCTGCAGTTTGCCGACCCCTGCTCTAAACTGTGCCATCAGGTTAATAAGTGCATTTTAGTTTTGTTTTATTGCCTTTCTGTAGAAAAAGCACCTGACGGGGAGCAATGTCAGGTCAGCTTTCGAGGCCCATACATATCTCACCTAGTGGCATATTCCTAGGCTTGAAGGAACAGTCTCTATATAATGCTGGATTTTTACCTGTTTTCACTTGACCTCCACTTCAGTAGGCTGCTAGTTACACAGCCTTCCCAAAATGTTAGGCTTATTTACAACTTGGTGCCTTGCCCCAAGCTGCTTTCTTAATGTGATCAGTGTTCCCCAAAGTTTGAGAAAACACACAGTGCTACCAGCGATGATGGAGGATGGGTTGTTCATATTTTCAGCACAGGTGGACTCAACACCAAATAGCAGCAGGCCTGTCATTTCCTCTTCAGTCTCTTCCATCCTCGATGGCAAGATGCAAATCTTAGGTAAGTGCTGGTCTTTGGCAGGAGGGACCTTGCCAGGCAGAGCAGGTGAGCTTAAGGCCCAGTGTGGCTTGAGATACAGCTAGTTAGAAATTAACAGCATTGCTTTGTTTTCATTGCATGCTTTTATGAGCACCTCCTTTGATGGCCAGAGATAATGGCTTTTCACCCACCATAACGTTTCATTTATGCAAAATGAATTAAGTCCTAGAGACCTACTATACACCGTGGTACCTATAGTTAATGATACTATATTGCCTACTTAAAATTTTGCTAAGAAGATAGACCTTATGTTGTGTTTTTATCACAAAAACAAATAAGAGGGCAAGAAGAAACTTTTGAAGGTGATGGATATGTTTATGGCATTGGTTGTGGTGATGGTTTCATGGGTGTATACCTATTTCCAAACTCACCAAGTTGTATACATTAAATATGTACATTTTTTTTGTATGCCAATCATACCTCAATAAGGTGATTTTAAAAAGAAAGTCAAAACTTTGGGGTTTGAGCATTAATTTATTATTAATTTGGTGTCAGCTACTTTAAAACCCAGGAAGAAATATACCAAAATTAAAATAAATCTCAATTGAAAAATTTTTAAAAAGTGAGTTGAATGTTTAATAGCAAATAATAATCATACAGGTGATTTGCTAAGGTCAAAAGAAAACGGGGTCATTTGAGATAGGCTAAAGATACAGACATACCATTTTGGGCAGGACTTTTCTAATCTACCTCAAGGATAATGATCTCTAAATCAGTGACATGAGACTACTCTGCAAATGTGGAAAGGGAATGCTGCTACTGTACGAATCACCCAGCCACCAGTGCTCTGCTTACAACATGCCTGTGTGACACGTGCCCCGCACATGGCAGCCCCCAAGCACCTTCTGTGGCAGGAACTTGAGCACTGAAGGGCTGCAGCACCCTGGCCATGGTGCTGTTGGAGTTCGGGTAACGGACATCACTTCCTATAGGGGAGGTAAGCTCCTCCCGTCTTGTAGCCTTCAGAGTCATTCACAGGAAATTTACCCTAAATGTTGGTGGATTCGTTGGACTTTGAATTGGATCCTTTGTAGTCTAAAAGATCAACCTGTCCTCAAAATGCCTTTGTGTGGTATGTATGTGTGTGTGTGCGCGTATGCATGTGATTAGTTATTGAATAAAATATGGCTCCCCTGTCCACCCACAACACATAATAAAACATCAAAGTACCCACAAGTTGGTAAAATATATTTTATTTGTTCATACAAAGAAATAGTATGAATTACCAGAATTTCATTTTTCTAGAAACATCTTTCTCTGTGTAAAATTAATTTGTGTTATACATAGGACAAAATACTCGATTTACTTTTTTTTTTTATTTTTGTACATATTGGCTATTCTAACATCCAGGTTATAGAAGACACACTGCTAGAATTTGCACAGTATTTCAGATTACGGGTCTGAATGAAACTCAGTCATAAATTAATGTTACAAAAGTGAAAAAAAATCTAACCACACCTTTAAGTTTTATTGACCTTCCTTTTTGATAAACTGAAAAGAAAAACAACATTGACTTCTGTGTCAGCATTTTAGATACATACTAAAATGCAACCTTCCATTTTCCCTTCTTATGAAAATATCCTGGCCAGATCTGAAACTGTTTCTCCAAAGGTCTACAATGTATCTGTCACTCAACATGACTTCCAAAGAGAATCTCATAAGAAGACAATTTCTGCTCCTCCATCATCCAATTAAGTATTTATTACACAGTCACTATACCTAAATACCTTTCCAGGTACCACCTACCAAGTTAACAGACTACTGTACAAATGCCTCAAAGAAAGCATAGAGTAGATAGGAACAATAAAAACCTCCAATTTTTTTTGTTAATATTTTTGTTCTTTAATGAGAAAAGAAACAAAACTAAGAGAAATAAAGTATTCCAATGACTATCAAGCTTTTCCTGTAAACTGGAAGAAACGAAAAACATGTGCTAGGACAAATTGCCAAAACATGAAATGGTGTCTGTCTTCTAGCAGCTAAAAGTTAAGCTGGTGGCCTTGCAAATTGCTAGAACAGGAAGAAACCCAAGGCTTAATCTGATGTGTTGCCTAACTTCACCAGGAGGAAGACATGCGGGCTCAGGCGCTGTAAAAACTATCACATGATGGGGCGGAATCTTGGGACTGATGCTGTGTCCGGATCAGTCAGGAACTATAAGCTATCAGACCCCTATGAAGAGATGCACAGGAAGTTTGATTTATTTGTTTTACATAGAAAAACTTGCTCTAGTCCTTCAGTGCTAATTATCAACATCTGTTTGGATTCAAGGATTTGACCCAGAATAGAATCTTGACCCACTTCAGTGTTTATGACTAAATGACCCTCTTTCTATCTGAAAAATTTTAAGGCAGGGAATAAACAATTTAATCAAAAATTGTCCAGCTTGGAAAGAGGGCAGGGACTTGAAGGAGAAGGAAAAGCTCAGGGATATCTTCCACCCACTTTGTTGCAAACCCTTCTCTGAACTTTCCTGCAATTCTACATCATGACAGGGTCACAGCATGAGTGGCCAGAAAGCGGACAAGGCAGAATTAAGTGCAAGACATGGAGACTGACTTTTACTTTAAGCAATGTGATGCTGTAACTGAAAAGAGATGTTCTCAGTTTTTTTTCAAATAAGCCTTCTGATTGGAAAAATGCACGACCAATTAGCACCCTTATGCAGATGTTTTTGATACCCAAGCAGCAAGAGGGGAGAGCCATGCTATGATTATGGCGTTCCCCTAAATGCAGGCTCTAGACTACTGCGTAGAGGCAGTAACAAACCTGGTAAATGAATAGAACATCTCAGGAATGCAGAGCCCCTCACCCCCATCCTCCTACACAGAACCTACATATAATAGTTTTGCTGCTCAGCATAACCTAGCTATATTTGGGCTAAAATTTGTGGGCAAATACAAACCAGATTATCCACAAGACATCACTTGAAGACCAGTGACATCTCTGGTCAGTTTCTAAAGATGAATTATGTTTTCACGTAAGTTTTCTTACTCTATCAGTCAAGTTCTCCCTTACAACATATAAAAGTGTCCTTTGTAAATATCCCAACCCAACCATTTTGACAATATGTATATCTTCCCACATATTCCTTGATGAATGTATAACAAATCTTTTATGGTAGAAGCATTCTGGTTTAGAAAATTGAGGATAAAGTGAATATGTCATTATGTGATATTGCTGTGTGGTTACCCAACTGCTGCTAGCTAGTCATCATAAAATACCCCAACTGCTCTCTCAACAGAGAGGTATGGGGAGAGCATTCTGCATCAGCAACAATGATGCTAGCAGCCCTTCTGCCAAGACCTAGCTAAAACAAGGGTCAGCTTCACAAGTGCAGGTTCAAATGCCCACAGGCAACATGGGGCCAGCATTCCCAGACTGCATTCCAAGGACCACTCCTGGTTCTTGCTGATTGGCTCTTGACTACAGCAGACCATGTGGTCAATCTGAGAGGAGCTAGGAATTCCAAGGAGAAAAGTTCCAGACATCAAGCAGGGGGCCAAGGGTTCCCTTCCTCTGCGAGGCCACCTGCCCTTTGGGGGTGTCTTTCTCTTTTCTTCCATTGAGGCTGCCAGCCTACTGGGATGTGCCCCACATGGCTGGCTCTGCACCTTTGCAGCACCTTGGTAGACACTGATGGCGTTGGATGCACCTGACCCCATTGGGTCTCGACACCCGGCACCCTTGGTTTGTGCCTGTGGCTCTGCTATCCTAGGGAATTCTTTGGTGTGTCAAAGCAGAACTGTCTGCCTGGAGAACGGAGCATGATGTGCTCTCATGAAAATTAGAAGAGACCGTCTTTATTTCTAAAGCAGCACCCAAGCATCTCACACACGTGACCTGGGAAAGATGGGGCTGACATTTGCATACACTTCAAGCTGGTTAATGAACCAGGGACGGGGCAGAAGAGGAGGCAGGGCCATCCTTCAAACTCAAAATCTGAAGTGAATGGACCCTGGCACGCAGGCTCTAAAAGGATGTGGCCTCCCCTGCCGAGGCTGTGAGTCCCCGCTGTGTCCGGCAGACTTGGGGGACAACCTAAGCAGGGTGGTCAGGCATCTACATCCTTGGAAATGGCATCACATGGCCGAGGAAGCTGCTACATGAGGTCTCACCTTCAGAGTGCAGCGCTGCTGAGACAGCTTAGTGCCCCTGCGAGGTACACAGGCAAGAAGAGAAATGGGATCTGGAATAGGAGACCCACGACACGAGGAGAGGGCAAGTGGATTCAGACAGCGATCGAAGGCTGCGTACCCGTAACAACAAAAAAATCTCAAGTTGTGCTTTTCTTCTTTTTAAATATAATGGGTAGGGGGAGGGGGAATGGAAGCACCATCAATTGTGAGGAAAAGAACAAAATATTAGAGTTCAACACTTTGGAATGTTAACAGATTATGAAGCTAACTCTCTAAGGAGCGTGACTAGGCAGCTTAGTGAATTAATTGCTTATGAATTAAAAATAAATTATTATAAAATAGATTTCTGTACATTTTACATACATATAATCTCTCTCAATATATAAGCCAAGTGGTAAATTACACGGTCCGGGTGCCTTCAATCCCAGCCAAAGTCGTGCCCCGTCATCTGGTAGAACTTGAGGTTGAAAGGCCGGTAGAACTCCCGCAGTCGCTGCACCACCTCGCGGTCGATCTCCGGGTGGGTCCTGCCCTTGGTCTTGCCCAGGCAATGGGGTTTGCTGCTGCCCTCGGCCTTCTTCAGGCAGGGGAAGCCCTTGGTCTTGTTGAAGTAGAAGTGCTTGTCGGTGATGATCCTCTTGAGGCCCAGGAAGTCCTGCACGCGGCCCAGCTCGCCCGCCGGGTCGCTGATGAGCCGCTCCCCGCTCACGAAGAGCATCTGGCCGATGGGGAAGTGGCGCAGCCAGTGCTCCAGGTGCTTGGCGTAGATGCCGATCTGGATGGCGCTCCACGACGTGTCGATGAGGCCCGTGGTTCTGTTTTTGAACGTCAAGCTCTCGAAGGTGGGGATGTCGGGCCTCTTGGAGAGCGTCTGCGTGTAGTCCGAGATGGCTCTGGTCACCGGGTCCCGCACCACCACGATGAGCTTGGTGTCCTTGGACATGGCCGAGATGCGCGCGGGCGCTTCCCGGGTGACAAAGTAACTGGGCGTCTTCTCCATGGTGATCTGCCCCTCCAGGGTTCTCGGCATCAGGTCCCTGGGGAAAGCAAACAGAGCAAACGCCGGTCAGCAGATGACACCTCTTTGGCCACGTCTCTCAATGTCAACACTTCTAACCCTCTCGCCCTCATCACTGGGAACAGATGTAGAAATACGAAAAAATGCAATAATTTTAGAGTTGAAAGGTACATTCATGTCCCATCTGAAGTTTTGAGCCAGACACTGTCTACTTGAAATGTAAAAGCACTTCCGTCCAAGGTAATAAGCATAAGACAGGACTTTCTAAAACCGTCTTGTGGGTTTCACCACTCCTTACTTTTCAGGGTATCCAGCTTTTAGACAGTACCCAGCACCTGATATCAGAACCAAGGGCCTTTGGCCTTTGGCCTTTGGGTATGTGCCTTTCCTAAATAAGAGCACCTGGGCTCCCAGAGATTTCTCTGCCCGTAGCTCTCACTAGCTTGCCTTCAAGCGCTCGCTCACAGAGACTGGACAAACGTGTGATGGGCCCTTGTCACCCTGGCCCAGCCCAGCTGTACTGACTTCATCGCAGTGCCCACTGAACAAACCTCTCCTCTGAAAAGCATGCCCGAAGGCAATAAAACACACAGCAGCCAAAAATTTGGGTGAAATCAGATGAAGTATGAACTAATACAAACTTACCAAGAGGAAATTCCCAAGGCACAACACAAGCTTCCAAAAATACTTTAGATTCCGTTAAAAAAAAAAAAAAGACTTGCATGATATCTATGGTAGCATTAATCAAGCAAAAGTATGTAGACAAACTTGTTACAGCCTATAGTAGATATAGGCCACCACAACTGGACCAAAATACAGTTTTGTGGTGGCAATTAGCACTAAAAAAAATAAGAACCAATGATGTAAGACTGTGCCTTATTTGCCCTCTGAGTTTCAGTATCCTCAAATGTGTAATGGGAATAATTCCTCCTACTTCATTCAGTTTTTATGAGGCTTATAAAACCAAAGCAGTTTGGCTTAACAATGAAGGAATGTGGACTTGGCAGTCAGACGTGTGGGTTCAAATCTCAGCTCTGCCACTTATAAGCTGTGTTACCTTCAACAACTTACTTAGCCTTTCTGGGCTTCTTTTCTGCATCTCTAAAAATGAAGAAGCTAATATCTACCTCATGAGTTTAATAAGAATTAAAACAATTAATGATCATAAATATGCTTTGAACATGCCTGATATATGGTATATACTTGATATATAATCATTATTATAGAGTTTCATACAGTTTATAGCACATGGTAGGACCAAAGTTGAGCACGTGTGTGCACACACTCGCCTGTATACAACCAAAGAAGATGTGCTAACAATTTGAGCAATTGGACACTCAGTTGTGGTCACAAATGTACAATTTTCCATTAACTATGATATAGGGGTTCCTGGTACCTGGGCCCAGGAATTTAAAAAAAAAAAAAAAAGACAATTTCCACATCATTTTTGACCAAATATTTACCTCTCAGTAGAATATTCTAAACTTCCAGCTTCAAGCCATTCTTAATCTACTGAAACCACAACTCCTGTATTGAACACATTTATGGAAAGGATATAAACTCTCTGGTGCTCCCATCAGCGAGGGCAGTCCCTGGAGAGTGCTGCTTCTTTATAGCCAGTAGCGGAAGATGCTTTCTTTGAAGGAAGGCTGCCTCAGCAGCGCTGCAGCCACCTCTGGCTTAAGCTAAGGCTGGCTTGACCCACTCTGCCCATTAACCACTTAGATTGATGTTGCAGTGTCATCAGGTTAATGTGACAGAGGATTAGAGAGAGTCCCAAATCTCAGCTTATTTTGCATTTCACTCAAAAGCAGGTTGAGTCAGATAAAGTCCTAGTTTACTTCCTCATGTTAAGCCATCTGCAACTGGACAGTCTTACAAGAGTTTAATATTCGGAATCAAAGTACTATCACAACTGAAGGAAACCCAAGCCCCAAAGTTGTTCAGAGCCATTGCCGAGTGGTGGATTTGGGTCTCAGAGAGTCCGTCTGACCCAGCACGGCCTTTTGAAGCCAATCCACTGGTTTGACTCTCAGCATCCCCATTGATTAGGTGTGTGACCCTGCATAGGTCACAGGTCACGGTCGCTTAACCTCTCCATGCCTCGGTACTCTCATCAGAATCATGAGAAAAATGATGGCATGCACCTCCTAGGGTTTTTGAGAAGGCTGTGAAGCTAACCTCAGTAACTGTGAAGGTACCATGCCTGGTGGCTGGCTGGTGCTAGAAAATGTTCTCAATGATTTTCTGTTGACAGAATCTTAGCAAGGAAGGAAGGGAGCAAGGTTTGCACACAGGTCACTCATACGATTCTACCCCACAGAGGGGCAATGGCGAAGGCTCAGCTCCTGCGAGAGGCACAGGTGCAGGGCATGGGGCTCTACCCTCAGCCTGCCTGGATTCCAGAACCATCTCTGAACCTTTGCTGCCTGCGTTTCCTCAACGTCCTTAAAGAAGGGCCTGGCAGGAACTGAACAAAACAGCTAAATGGGCAATTGTGAATAAGAAACCACATCATAGGTCTGGTTAAAAGGACGTGGGAGAGCCTTGCTATCCTCAAGTCCAAAGGCAAAGCCTCCTCGGCCATAAACAAAGACTCCGAGCTGTGGGCAGATTTCCTGTGTTTGACTGCCTGCTGACCACCCAAGCCATTCTGGGGTACCAGCTCCAGGGGACCCCTCTCCCCAGGACAGTCTGCATTTGTACACATATGTCAGAAAGCACTCATGGCCCTCAGGCATTTCCTTCATTATCCAATAACAGGCAGGGGACTACTGCTGTGACACCAGGACTTCTCGGCCCTTGTTCATTGGAGGCCCCATGGCCACTCTCCGCTCCGTGGCCTTGGGTGTGGACAATGAATGGCTGATGGACAAGATGCACAGCTGGGCTTTCCATCATTTCTGCAAACGCCTCCTGAGTCCTCTCTGCCAGCTTCCAGGGGGCACTGCTGCGGCAGGTGAAAGTGGAACAGAATTTGCCGCCCCAAAATATGTCTCTGGCATAATGATTATTTTAGGCTGATTATTTTTAAGAAACAGCAGGCATAAGAAAAGTTCTGAGTAGAAGTGTCATTTTGTAAGAGACATTTACATATGGGGACATCTCCATTTGTAAGGATTGTTTCCCCCCAATCCCCTTACACACACACACACACACACACACACACACACACACACACACACACACACACACACGAGAGGAAGAAACATGACTCAATCTTTAGAAACTCTCATCAATGAACTTAAATCTGCATAACAACCGTACCCTTGTTTACTGTGTTTTGCTTGGTCACTTACCATACCTGGCCTTCCCCAGCCCCCAACATCTTTCATCTTTAGCAGGATGTAGTTAAGGTGATGGCTTGGCCATTTGGGGGAGTTGCTCAGTTTTCCTGGGTCTCTCTCATGTGTACAGGAGGTAAACATGTTATTAAATTTTTGTTTTTCTCCTGTTTACCTGTCTTACATGAGGATCTCAGTCAAGAACCCAGAAGGGTAGAGGAAAAATTATTGTTCCTCCCCTACATGGGCCCTAGCCTCAGTTGAAGCCTACCCCCCCCCCACACACACACACACCCCTGTGGGGAGCACAGCACAAACTGGGAAGTGTGTAGACAGCTCCTGGCACAGAACCCTCTGGGCAAGTCCCCTTTCTTCCCATTAGCCCCACCCCCAGGCCTGGTCTGGAGCAAACCCCTTTTCATTCACTTCCTGGGCCCACTTCCTTCTTCCCCTCCCTTCACTGGCCATACTCTCCTGTCCACACAGTCAAAATCTCTCTGAGCACCACAGTGACTCAGAGAACAAAGTCTGAGGATGCGGCTGAGGGGGCGAGACCACTCACATGGGCCCTTGCATGCCCATCACAGCAGTGGATCCAGCCTCAGGTGAGCCTCCTGAGCCAGCAGGGAGGCTGCAGGTTAATTGAGCTGCTCATTAAGAAGCCAATTTCTCAAACTGATAGTCATAGCTAATAATTATGTAGTGCCTGGGGCTTGCAGAGGCACTTTCACAGACATTATCGGATTTAGTCCCTCACAACAAGCCTTTGAGGTAAATACTGCAGTCCCCAACTTACTCAGGAAGAAACTGAGGCCAAAGGAAAGAGGGTGGCTCGCTTGGAGGTGGGTCGCTGGCCTGCAGGTCAAGAGCTGGGGCCTATAGTCAGCCCCTGGGATGTTTCCCCTTCCATCGTCACAACCCTCTTCCCCTCAGCCTCCTGTGATGTGATGAAGAGCACATAGCACCACACACCTGTCCTCTCTTTAAATAGATATCTGTATTTTATTTCTCTTGTTCATAGATTAGGATCTTAATAATAGGTATTTCAGCGCTAGAATCAGATGACTGCAACCATAATTGTTCAAAAACAAATTAGATTTCAAAACAATAGACCTCTTAGGTTCACATACTCCTGCTGTTAACTGTATTCTATGTGGCCTGGGATCTTAGCAATCATTGCAACAGTCCTCCCTGCCAGCATCTCCTGGCCCCGACATCCTCCCCTCTTTACCATGTGGCCAGGAAGGGCCACCTCTTTGGCACCTGGCACATATCACCAACGGATACTTGCAAAGCCAGTGGGGCTGGACAGTGTCTCTAGCGCAAGCCCAAGGAAGGCACATGCTCACTCTCCATGAGAAGGGTCCCCTACGAGAAGTCTAGGAGACAAGAACCAGCAATGCAGGGAACATGACAGAAAGCAGAAAAGACCGCACTTCTTCAGTGAGACCTACGGGGTGAGGCAGGCTTGTCTCCCCATTTTGGCCTGGGGATGACAAGCCCAGTGAACTTCCAAGAACACCAGTAATATCAGAAAGTGGGGCTACGGAACAGAAAGCTGAGAACCAAGAGGGTTTGAAGAGGGTGTTTCAGGCTTTCAACATGTTTGAGGATATACATGAGAAAGTGATGGGCCACCTCTGTGGCGGTCGGTCTCGGCCCTGGTTTGCACGATGGAATCACAGGGTGCTTTGAACTAAATGACTAGACCCTGCCCCAGATCAACTGAATCAGA